ACGCTGAACAGCATGGCCAACCTGGCGTCGACATTTTGGGATCAGGGCCGGTGGGAGGAGGCGGAGAGGCTTAAGGTGCAGGTCCTAGAGACGAGCAAGACGAAGCTTGGGCCAGACCATCCCGACACGCTGACTAGCATGGCCAACCTGGCGTATACACTGAGAAGGCTTGGTCGCCGTCATCAGGCGCTTGAACTGATGGGCCGGTGCGTCTCTCTTCGACGACGCATACTTGGCCCACAACATCCACGAACTCAATCCTCAATGAAGGTACTCGAATTGTGGCAGCAATATAACGGCTAGTATCTCAGTAGCAGAATTTCTTCCTCTTTAGTGTCTCGTTTATGCATTCTTGACAAGTCCTAGCAAGGTGCTGGTCAACGACGCTCCATTTCCAGTTGTGACCTGCACCTTAGCTTTCGGGCTACGTCCGCGTGTACCGTACTCTTGATCGATTTAGCGACGTTATATACTTCGCACGCATACTATCGTCCTCAAACTCTTTCATCAGTTGATATGATACTCCAGGCTGTGCCTGGCATGTTTCTTTCCAGAACCACTCGGAGCAAGGACAAGGTCGCCCTGCTGATCGTTTCCGGTGATCGGTCGGCGTCTAATGTTTTCACGGAGGGGAACCTTCCATACGAACTCGTAATGGATACAGATAAAATTACGCCTATCGTACTGCCTGTCGGCTTCCCAGTTATTCAATCGTATCAGTGGGAGGTTTCTCATCGGTCTTCCGCAGTCGGCTCGGTTGGGCTCCTCGGCACGAGTGTTTATGCTGGGACTTCTGTCCCGTCCGGGGGTTCGAAGGTCATACTCGTGAAAAAACTCAAAATTGGGAATCTTCCGTTTCCATTTGGTCTCGCGCAGCAAGTGGCATTTGGTAAAAGAAGCGGCAACGAAGCACGCCACCAGTGTGGGCGTAGTGTGCGAGTGAGCGGAGCAGCGACAACGTGGACACGTGGCCTCTACGCTAGCTTCCAACGATTTCTACGGGCTTCCATGGCTGCGTATAGTCTCCAAACCAAACTGCAGTGTGCATACCAAACCATAAGTTTATTACGCCCGGTGACTAAAAAAGTCAATAGGGCTCACTAGCTAAGTTACTTTACATGTCCGAAAGTGGCGTCTCTGCCTCCTGCAAGCCCATAAGCGGTCATCCTCCTTCCATTTCTGCTCTTGT